TGCTAAGGATCTTGCTAGTGCTCTATCACTAAACTACACCCACGTTTGCCTTTGAGGTTCTCAACTGACCTCCTTCCAGAAATCTCCTTCAAGCACTATGGAATTTTCCACATATTTAGTTTTCTACTATCTCCTAAAAACATGTGGCTCAGGGCAGGGGTAACATAGCTCAGTGGTTCAACGCTTGTCCATCACTCAAGAGGCCCTTACTCCAGCACCACAAAAAAAAAAAAAAAAAAAAATCTAGGGATGGGAATATAGCTCAGCAGTACAAGCACCTAGATGAAAAACACAAGATCATGAGTTTGATCCCTGATTCCCAATATCAAAAAAAACAAACAAAACAAAACAAAAACAATTTATGACTTGTAATGTATCCAGAATGCAAACAGAAAGGGTAAAAATCATTTTAATCTCTAGAACTGCAGTGATCTCAGTCTGGCCTGGTAGTATACACCTATAGTCCCAGCACACTGGGAGGCTGAGGCAGGAGATCACAAAGTATAAGCCCAGCCTGGGCAACTCAGACAGTGTCATAAACAAATAAACTAATGTATAAAAGTAAATAGATGGTTTGGAATGTACCTCGGTGCAAAGGTGTTAGGTTTAATTCCCAGCACTGACCCCACCCAAACAGCAATGATCTCCATATAATTTTAAGACCAGTGAGTATCTAATTAAATGCCTGGTGTTTATGGGCACTCAATCAAGAGTATTCATTTTTCCTCTCTTTTTCAGTCTATCCCTTGATATCCACTCAACAAACAGCTGCTGAACAACAAATGCGGATTATGGATACAAACTTCAATAGTTCACCATCCTAATAAATGTGTGGAAGTGAACGGCCACAACTCTGAGCACCTATTGTAATTGTAGAAGCCAACTGTATTCATCTCATGATATCTCAATACTTAGTGTTAAAATATTCATACAACTTTTTCTTTTCCTGATATATACTTTTTTTGGTGGACTCTATTTGAAGCACTGTCCAGTGTATTGAAGAACAGCCCTAAAAATGCTTACATTCACAAGGAGAGACAAGCAATGAACAAACAAACATGATGTAGGAGCAATGGATGATACTTGGGTTTTGAATGCAATAAAACATTTTTTCCTATATCATCAAAGAATGCCACATAGGCATAATGGTACTTATCTGTAATTCCAGAACTCTGGATGGCTGAGGCAGAAGGATCTAAAGTTTGAGCTCAGCCTTATCAACACAGCCACATAGAGAGATCCTGTCTCAAAAAACATTTTTTAAAGGCTGTGGATGTATCTTAGTGCAGAGGTGCTAGGTTCAATACTTAGTACTGCAAAAATAAGCAAATAATAAACCAAGTGAAATTTCAGGTTAAAACTATGAGAAACTGATTTACATACCACAAACCAATACTTTTAATAATTATCTACGATATAAAAATTAGCAGCTTCATTTTCTGGCAAGTTGAAAATATGTTAATTCCAACTGATTTATTTAAAAAAATTGAACTCGTACAAGTTACAAAACTAGCAGTTATTACAATAGAATATGCCAGGGGTAATACTTTATGTTCTATTTGGCATTCTATTTGGGCCTAATGTGGCAACTATCCTTTTTGTAGGAAAGAGGCAAATCTCTCTTCATTGGTTATAGGACATTTAATAAGAGTCCATTTTTATTTTGGGGTTTCTAAAAGTATAAACTAAAGAGTCAAACAAGACTTTTATGTTGTAATTTTTCATATTAAAAAAAAGCACTTTCCAGAAGACTCAGAGTTAACAGAACTATAACAGATGGAATTAATCAGGTATTCAATTTTCAAGTGCCACAGAAATGCCAGAAGCTAACAATTAGTGCCACTTTGTGCAAAGAACTACAAAAGTAAAATTCACAGTAGCAAACTTCTCCAGATTCACAAATGGTGGACTTCTTTATGAAATCAGTACAATGTCAAGATGCAAATGTAATGTCTGAATGGAGAAAGATTTTCTGTGTGTAAAACTAAAAGAAAAATCATACACACACACAAAGGTTGACATATCTGGTTACATAAAACTTTAGAATAAACTAATCAGAAAACTACTACAACAAATACAACACAGGTTTAATACTCTGTACATGCAAACAATTATTGTCAATAAAGATAAAACACTAAGAATTCAAAAGAAAATAGGAAAAAGCATAAGTAAGCAATTTACAAAATAAATAATTGGCTAACCATTTGAACCATGTTCTGTTCTATAACAGACTTTTTTCTTAAAGCAAAATGTGTTCATTAGTAATTGAAACAAGTGAAACTGATGCTTTTAAAAAGCCAGTGGTGGCATGTGTCTGTGATCACAGCACGCTGGGAGGCTGTGGCTAGAAAGATCCCAAATTGAAACCTAGCCTGGGCAGTTAACTTAGTAATTTACTGAGACCCTATCTCAAAAAATTAAATGATGCTGGTGATGTAGCTCAGAGCAAAAGTCCTATGATCAATCCCTAATACTGGCCCCCCCAAATAAAAATAAACAAAAAAAGTTCTTTGGTAATATGTGTAAGAAGTCTTTAAAATGTTTATAGATTTTTTACCTAGTTGTTTTATTTCTGACAATTTCTTAGGGAATAATTCAAATGTCAAATTTTTATGCAAAAAACAATGTTCACAGCATTATTTAAAACAGAAACTATAAACAACCTAAATGTTTGTAAATTATATAATCTATGGGGGACTGGATATATAGCACAAGTGCCTGCCTGGCAAGCCCAAGGCCCTGGGCTCGATTCTTGGTACGGGGGAAGAGGGGAAGACTTCAACATAAAGTCCATGTAATAGCCACATAATACAGTATGATATATTCAGTAAAATGATGTTCAAAATGTTATAATTACATGCAATAATATTTAACATAACTTTTTAAATTTATAGTAGCTAAACAATGAAAAAGGGGGAAAACATAGTAAATAACACAGATGGGGCTGGCAATAATGACAGTGACTGTTATCAGCCTCTTTGTATTCTACATAGTTCAGGTTTCTATAAACTATATGAAGGTAAAGTCTCTAACCACACTTCACCACATTGCCTAGCCACAGGAGGTATTTAAAAGTTAACTTTAAAGCAAAAGAAAATAAACATTGTAAAAAGCAGGCTAGTGTAATAGGTAAGGGGAATAAGACTGAAATGTCCAAAATCTTCACTGGGCAAGGTGGTGCACACCTACAATTCCAGGACTCTGAGAGGCTGAGGTAGGAGGATTACAAGTTAGATCCTAGCCTATGCAACTAAACAACTCTGAGAGACCTTGCCTCAATTTTTACAAAGGATACAGCTTAGTACAAAAGCCATACATTTGATCTCCAGTTGGGAAGAGGGCAGGCACTCATCAAAAATTTTTTGTAAGAATAATTTGTAAACTACTATTTTATTTTCAACATGAAGAGTGACTGAAATACATAGTCAATGTTTAAATTTTTTGAAAACTTATTACAGTAAAAAATATGTCATTAATTCCCCTTAAAATACTGCCTCCTTGCTTGGAACAGTTACTCCATTGTTCTCGACAATTTCTGAAGCAGTTCTAGACATTCCTCATGAATATCTTTAAAAGGTATGATCAAAAAAATAGGGTGAACGCTGCTGAGTGCCGTACAATGGAATGGCAGGTGTGTAAAAACACTACAGTGTTTCCTCAGCCAGCTTATTCACTAGATTGTTATTTCTGGCTCTTTTCCAAAATCAAAATGACCACTAAAGGTAGTCATTTTGAATCAATTCAAGACATCAGGGTAGCTAAAACAGCACAACTAAGGTCACTCATCAAAAAGGACCTTCTGAACTGCTTCAGAAAGTGGCAAGGACATGTATCTTCAAAGTAAGGGAATGCTGAGAGGAATCAATGGCAGAATGACTCTTAATGTAACAATTTTTAAATGTAAGCATTAACTATATATTACAATGGTACCTTATATAAATGAACAAAGAAAAGCCTGGGACAGCTCTTTACATAGAAATTCAGCTGTGGGGTCAACTCAGCCAAGTAATAACGAACTAAACACTTAGAGCAAAAACTAACAAGCTTTTATTTTGTATTTGTAAAAAACTAGCTTGTGGTGTTTAAATTTCATTTTCTTCAAGGTTAGCCAGTTATAAATTCAATATTTCATCTTCATTCATGCAAACGAAGCAGTATTATTACTTTAAAACAAAGGAGACATCTAAACTTCTGAAATTAATGTTTCAGGGTCTGAGACCAGTGAAATACAGGCTGCACTGACAACTAATATCAAGAAATATAAATTTTCATAGAAAAATGTGGTACCTCAAAAAGCAGCAACAAAACCACTCCAAAATCTACTTCCTAAATGGAAATAACCATGTTCTTCAAACTAACAGGAAATATCAGCTCAAAAAGATGGAGGGAGATAAAACTTTCCTCCCAATTTTATATTTTTCTTGGTACATTTCAATGAACTAAACAGAATACTCCATTAGGTAGACCAAAGTACAGTCTGTATTGGGATGACACTATAAATTTCAAACCAAAACTCCAACCAGAAAAATATATATGCAACCAGAACCATATTCTGCACTAATGGTGATTGGGTTAAGCATACTGCATTTGTCAGGCTCCAACATTTCCATTATTCCCCAAGGAGACAAAGCACAAATCCTTCAGTTCACAGACTGCTTCTTGTTAATTATGAGTTTATATACAATACTATGCACTAAAGGCTCAGTTTAAGAATACTTACTAATAAGAAATGCATTCACTCAAAGAATCAACTCTACACTAAGTAGCTTATGCACATTTTAATATTTGCTTCTCTATGAAAAATAAATTCAGTAAGATGTACGGAGATTCTAAGCAATGCAGTGTAAACTTAGAAGCAGAGATCTATAAAATAGATGCAGGTCAAAGAAAAAGACTCCTTCCTTACACATTTCTGGTACTTTTCAATATTTCAAAATATTAATTTATGGGTCTGCTGAATATGCTATTAGTATTTGGGAAGGATATTCTGAAAAACATACCTTTTCTACCTTGAAGTTCACTTTAAAACCATTCAAGCTAAACCAAATGTGGTGGCACATTCCTGTAATTGCAGCACTCAGGAAGCTGAGGCAGGAGGATTCCAAGAGTTCCAGGCCAGCCCGGGCTACACAGGGAGTTCAAAGCCAGTTTGAAATGTGTAACAAGACCCTGTCTGAATAAAAACAAAAAACAAAATAAAACCCAAAGCAAAGCAAAACCATTCAAACTAAATACACTACCTGGTTGACAAAGGGTTAAGAAGGAATAGAAAAAAACAGAACAGAAAAGAAAAGGAGAGAAATATGGTTTTTCCCCCTGCAGTCGTGACTGTTTTTAACTTAACATGTCTCTCAAAGTTTTTAGTTCCATGGTGAAAAAAGCAGGTGAAAACTACACAAACACTGAAAGAGTAAAAGTCTCTTCAGAGTATTTTAGGATTTCTAATGCAAAGGTTAACATGTAAATACAGAAACATACAGGATAAAAAGAGACTCTTATAACTAGTAACAGTATAAGTTGAACTATGTTTCTCTGTAATAGTTCCAGGTTTGCTGTACTCACTCTGCTTCCCCAAAGTTGACTTTGCCCAAAGGAAAGAAAGTAGAAAAAAACATATTTAATATTTAGAAGAGTGGATTTCAACTAGGGAGATTTACTCTCCCAGGGGATCTGGAGACATCTGTAATCTGAAAGTGTGCTGCTGATATCCAGCTAGCAAAGGTCAGGGATGTTGGTAAAAACTACAGCCTTCCGTAACAGAGAATTATCTGGCCCCAAATGTCCAAGCCCTGAGATTAAGACCCTATACAATCATGTAGAGTCACTTGTCCCTTAACAGTAGGATACATTTTTTAAAAAATGTAATAGGCAATTTACACTGTATGTATAGCACAGAATATGTTTACATAAATCTAGATGGTATAGCCTATAATACAGCTAGGGCAGTGATGGAGAATCTTTTAGAGATCGAATGCCCAAGCTGCATCACCAAACCCACTTATTTATCACAAAGTGCCAACACAGTAATAAAACCTGAATGTTGGAGGTGTCAGTTTAAGATAAAGCCTGTTATCCAATGATCAGCAGCTCGGGCAACAGAGAGGGCTCTGTATGCCTGCTGTGGCAGTGTGCCACAGGTTTGCTAACACTAACCTAGGCCATACAGTATACACCATGGTATTACACCATACAGTGTTTACCAAAATGTAACTCTAAAGGTGCAACTTCATATTCAAAGGTGTACAATCACCCAACTTCTGAAAAACTGTCCAAGACATAAAAGAAGGAAGGAAGGCTCCAGGGCTCTCCAGACTTCCCCCAGACCAAAGTATGTAACTCTACATTTTCATTCAGGATACAGTCTCTGGAGGAGTCACCATTAAATAACTTAAGAATTAAAAAGACAGAACAGACACAGAAAAAGATACCTGTGTATAAACTTGAAAGTGTTTGTTTTTAAATTTTAGCTAATATAAAGATGATAACCTATTAAATGAACACAGTAATACTCTATACATTTGTAGTAGTACTAACAGATATGGTACAACGAATGTCTCCTCACTGACTCTTGCTTGCTGAAAATCTCTCAAGATTTCCTTTTCTCTGGTGTTCTCAATAGACACATTAGATTAACTAAATGTACCCTTTACCGGATTCTGCAGGTTGTCTTAAAGCCTGAGAAAGGTGATCATTCTGGTTTCTCAGAATGTTGGATTTTCACATTAAGCAAGAATGTCCCAGGAAACTCAAAGGAGCTGATCACCCTAGATACAAATCAAGAGTTCTTTGCTGACCATGCTAAATGAGAAAGGCCCACTAGACGTCAATGTGGAGACCTCAAGGAGGACATGGAAGTATTAGTAGTCTGAGCAAAGTCTGAGCAGAAGATACAGAACTGAGAACCACAGTAGCACACAGATAGTATTAAAGTCCCAAAGAGGGCCCCAAACAGCGCTGGTATTTCTCTTTTTCCAAAATAATTGACTTTAAAATGTAGCCTTGGTCAGGTTCTCTATACAACTACTGACCTTCAGATTCCAAATTTTGATTCTTATTTTTCAGATATTATCAAAAACTCAAAAACACAAAGTAAAATTCACATTTCAGATTTTTCTGAACAACCTAACTTAAGCTATTCTGCTTAAAACCCTGGGTTCTAATGTCCCCACATTATATACGTTCTCTGAACTCCGATTCTAAGGGTCATGGAGCAGCTACATGGATCAGGTTTATTGTCCATTGTTTATTTATCTTGTCCAACAATTCACTAAAAATAAATCCCAGTATTGCTACTGCCACATATTTGGCCTCATTTCTCCTATGCCCAATCTCCTTTTAACTTATTATCTCCAAAAAGCATGACCCTCAATTTACACAATCAAAAAACCAAACTCTCAGAATAGATACACGGAACACAAGAAAATGGGTCTCTAAGGTCAAGTTTTGGTTGACAGAGGGGCTGGCTGTTTAATCTATTAGAATGGTTGCAAAGATTCCTAACACCCTTGGCTACAAAACTTGAGTGTACTGGTATTTACAAAAAAAGAACAATTACCAGAGTGACTCAACAGATGGCCCATTTAAATCATGGGATTGATACAATATGTCTGGTGACCTATTTTAAGTAACTAAATAAGAACCTCCCGATTGGCCAACTTGTGCTAGAAAATATCAAATGATTACAGTTGACCTTCAAATCTGACTGTCCAGTCAATCCAGGCAAAGATAATAAGAGAAGTTAAAAAAACCAAAGTGATCAAAATAGGTAAGTCCTGAAGTTTGAAATGGCTGTCAGCAGAATTCTTTGGGACATATTATCGACCCACTCTTTATTGGAGGGGCAATCATCCTAGGATAGAGAGGACATGGCTCCAGCAAAAAGGAAGTAAGATATAGGAGGGTAGAGGAGAGGAAGAGAAAATAGGACAGGAGGAGAAAAGATAACAAGACAAGATAAAATGATTTCCCACCAGGAAAAAAGTCTCCCCAAAATGATAACATAACAGAGAAATGAAGTAGGAAAGTTTACAGATGGGAGGATTGTTAAAATGAGTATTGTTAAAATATCTAATTTCTACAAATCGCAAATGGGTTCAATGAAATCTCAGTTAAAAACCTACCAGTGCTGAACAGTGGAAAACAAAGATAAGTAAATGTTAAATTTTATATAAAAATGCAAAGGATCCAAGGTCATTAAAAAATAAGAATGAGATTGGAGAACTTACATATCTGAGTGAAAAGCTGATAATGCTGACATAAGAAAGTGTACAGTTTGCATAAGAACATACAATTAGACCAGTGGAAGCCAAGAGACCCACATGTACTTCGCCAACTGATTTTCAAGCCAGACACCAACTCAGTTCAACAAGAAAGAAGACCCTTTTCTGTAAAAACCATTAGATATACAATTAAAAAATAAAGTAAAACCTTAATAATTGTTTCATCACATACACACAAAATTAAGCTGGGGTTACGCCCAAAGGCAAAAGATAAAAACTGAAAGCTTCTTGAAACAAACATAAGTATATTCCTCATATTGGAATTGAAAAGTTTTCTTAAATAATACAGCAAAACACTAATCATAAAAAACATATTCCAAGAGTTAAACTTACTAACCTTTCTATGGTTAAATGTTTTTTGAAAAACTAATGGTAAGATTATGAACCAATGTGCCAGGGTTAAAGGAAGAACTTAACACTAAATAGTCTATAAGGGAATTAGTTAATCTGTACAGAACCAAAATACTCTCATCAGAGTAGCCACAAAAATTATGTCCTATGTAGCATAAACAAATTCTGATTCTTGGATTACAGTCCCATCTTTGCATGTTTCGAAAGTCTTAAGGACTATAAGATTTTACCCTAATTTCAAACAATGTAAAGCCTGAATAACCACCTCTCTTTTGAAGGAGGAAAATTCTAATAAGAGTTAAAATATTTTTGTCAGAGTAAATCAGTTATATCTCTTACTACTGAATACTTCCTGTTTTGTTCTATTTTGCTTTAAAGATTCTGGCAATTGAACCTAGGGCCTTGTAAATGTTAGACAAGCAGGATACTACTGAGTGACTGCCACCTCATTCCTTGCTATACACTTCTTCTCATTCAGTAAAAACATCAAAACCAAGAGACCCAACATAACCTCCCCCTCCCCACTGATCCTAGCTTTAATACTGTACTTCTTAAAAATCCAAAATTCCTAAAAACAATTTCTATGATTCACACATGGCCTTTCATGGTACTTTGATTTCAATGCATATTGGAAAGGAAAGAGCAGACTACAAGAACTCAGACATGCCCTCTAATCAAGCAGTCTTGCAATACATGGCATAATCAGTCAGCCTCTTCCCCTTAGCAGAACAAGCTGCTGACAGCGATTAGTCTTCTGAAACAAGCCCACAATGCTTGTCAATGTAAGTGATTGGTCATTCACGGGCAATGTCAAACTCTCTGATACGGTATTTTTAGAGTTCCTCATTAGAGTCAACAAAGGTTTACTACGAAATGCAAGAAAGTTTTTCTGATGTTGCATTTCTGATGAGGAGCTGCTGCCAGGGAAGAAGTATTTTCAGGCCTGCTTTCAAATGTGAGATGGCACTGTCCCACTGCAAGAGGCCACACTATCTTGCAGAAGAAACAGCCTTTTTACTCAGAGGTGTTGGTGACATCACAGTTCTGTTTTCCAGCCCCATAATACACTTAATTATTCAGTTACTTGGGAGAGAGGGAAAGGAAATGCCTTTTATCCCCTTAAAATTCTCCCTACAAATTGTATTTCCTGTGGTCCAGGTCACACACTCTTTCACTTCAATGAGCACAGGCTTCTAAAAGCCTAAAGGCAAACAGTTAAATATCAAATCACAAAGCAGCATTCTGTACAAAAGCTCAACAAAAGCTACAAGTCCACCTGCCAGAGAAATGGTCCTCTCTGACTAAGAAATCAGACTGAGTCTTTCTGAAGTAGTCATGACAAAAGCCTCTGTCTGTATATAAAAGAACTTCATGGCTACTACCAATAAAAACTACTGTTGTATATAAAAGGCAGTGACTCTTGTGTTCGTAGATGTGAAATACCAACAACTCATTTTAAGGTAATGCATTAGGACACTCAGGCAGATAATAACAGTAAGGAGGGTACATCCTCCCATTTATGACGTTTTACTAAAAAGCATTT